GTAGTAGTAGTAGTAGTAGTAGTAGTAGTAGTAGTAGTAGTAGTAGTGTTTTGATAATACGTGGAAAATTTTTGGCAAATCGCTACGAATCGAGTTATATGGACACCATATCACTGATACATATATATGTATATACATATCATCATCCCTGTCTCCCACCGAGAGATTGGTGGAATTGAGATATGTACGCCGATGTCTACCAATCCTCACGCCTCTACCAACATTGAATCTTTCTACATGACAAAACCATTGAAGCATCAGCACTTCTATTCTGTTTACTACATCATCTTTCATACCACACTGCTCTCTTCCTACACAGCATTTTGTTGTTAGAACTAATTTTACGTACAATTATAAGCTACATCAAGTTTGACACTAAGGAAATCAAGGCCCGACGTTATTCGACAGGTTAGTGTCAATACTGATCTGCGCCTGACTGTACGCGAAGCGTGTCGTCTTCTAAATTGCAGTCGAAAGTCATAACCCGCATCATGATTACGATCGACAATTTAACGAGTGTTTTTTTTTTTAGATCCAACAGCCGTGTCCTTATCGGAGAGCACTGGATTTCGAAAGGGCGTGGTGTGCGTAACTACATATTACACCCGGAGTACGAACAGTCCCAAAACACCATAGCTATCATACAGTTGGTAGAAGGAGTCAGTCGAAAACGTACGTATAGACATAATCATTCTTTGTTGGTAAAATTAACATGTACAAGTCATAATTGTAGTTACATTCAAAATTATTCAAATTATAAGTAATTATGTTATATTACTATTATAAAACCAATGTGATAAGTTTTATATTGATTTTTCTATATATTGACTGATCTATATATAAATAAGTTGTCCGAAGCGGAATCAACAATTACAAGAGGCAGCCAGTTATATACTGTCGGGCCCAATATATTTATTAATTTGCCTGTTTTGGACATCGATATGCAGCATATCGTCGCCGTACTTTCTCAAACTCGTATATTATAAAGAGTATAACTCGTATATTATTCAGGAGATGGCAAAACTTTCTATTTATTTTAAATTTCTTATCCAGGGTGTTAACTTGGATGCATTGTTTGATGAGCCAGTGTGTGAATATGAAGGAAATTTGATGTGAAATCAGCCTGCAAAATTTGTATATACAATGCATTTTTTGCCTTTCAGTAACTTTGTGCTTTAAATTACGAGTAAGGCGACGATATGCTGTACGGGTGCAATCCTGTGTTTATTTCGTAGCTCATGGGTATGTTCTTCGTATTAATAGGCAGTAACAAAAAGAAGACCATGTTTAAGCTGGTGACCATGCTCATACAAAACAAGCATTACAAAAAACAAGTAATGCGCGAAAAAATTGTTTGCTTTCGCCAAACAAAGCTTCATTTGCTGTTTTTATTTTCAAGAACATTTTTTGCTGAAATTGTTTGTTGTCATTGAGTCATATCAGCGGTTAAAAATAGGATATTTTTTTTAACTGCCCCCGAACGGTAACCATGCTGCTCTGCCGGGATCGATTCCTGGACGGGAGAAATATTTGAATGAGCTACATTTATATTTATACTAGGACATCGGCTTTATTTCAGAATTTCGTTTTTACAAACGAAAGTAAAACCATTTGAAAAATGTACGTATATCATATAGGTACTAAACATGAGCTATTTAATTCAGTTGATATATAAAAAAAACTTATTGGTACATGTAAAGTACTTTACATGTACCAATATGTTGTGTTGTACCTATTGAATACTGCAGTTTTTTCATGAAAATTTTTAGGAATAGTGTTTTCACACCATTATATAGCAGTCAGTGTACATCCAATTTTACTATGCATTTTTTCCAAAGAGATTGATTCAACACTTCCACTGTTGTGCGGAATCAACGAAAGTCATTTCAGGTTGTATAGATTCTTAAATTCAAATCGATGAAAATTATATTATGGTTAATTTTGTAGTACGAATATGCTTTAGCAATTTCACTTTATTATTTGTCCATCCATTCCATCTTGAATCCCCTGATCATTTTTCCTTTAACCTTTGGTTATCCAGCTGTCTCTTTTCCGCCCTTTTACTTTAACATTTGCATAAAGTATTCGTATATCAATGGGAAAAAAAATTCTAACAAGATAAGCCCGCCTTTCTACGCTAATATTATCGCTTCCATTTGTTTTGTGGTACAGTCGGTGTCCTCACTTACGTATTCATTTATTTATTTATATTTATAATAAGTGCCATACGAATAGTGGATACGTATGTGAGGGCATCGACTGTACAATAAAGTGATTACATATGTACAAGTGCCTGCAAAAGAGTTATTATAAGAAATTTTTTCAATACTATTTTTTACGAAAGTTCTGTGTCTATTGTAAGTTTTAGTTTATGATGTCCAGTGAAGTTGTTAGTACTTTACAAATAAGTGTAAGTCCCTAACTATGTTGAAATGTAATTTAAAAAATATTGCCGCTCTAACGGCACTGCATTTCAACTCAAAACGCGTGACATCATTGGTAGGCATCGAGTAAATAACCAGAAATAAAGACAAAATAAGGGCCATCCATCCCTGGCAACTAACTCATCAGGTAATTGGACATTATATCACTTTTAAATGTCAACTCTCGTTTGCACTAAATCACAAATTAGAAAGCTACAATAGTACAGCGCCAACAACTGACCTGTGAACGTCTCCGTATATTCCAAAAATATCAACTCATCCGAAGTACAAAGTGCGATGTGATTATACAGCGAGAAGAGGTTAAAACATAATCTCGTTATTCAAAAGGCCTATATAAAGGTGTTTTCAGATTTTTTATATATTTGTTGTTTCGTTTCGGAAATATAAAATCGAACAACAGTCGATCTTGACTGTGGATATCCGCAGTCAAGAACAATGAACGAAATGTACAATGTCCCGAGAATAAGCAGCACCTTGCACATAGGTGTTTGTTCTACGGATGAGTCGATATTCTATATTTATTGTAATAAATATAATATCTCTATGGGCGAACTATTCCATTCGGTGGAGTGGGAAAACATCTAATTACAAAACAAATGGACTCACATTTCAACTGTCATTAAATGTGAAACATGTAATTTTTCAATTTAGATCCAAAATTGCAACGCTCAAGTTAAACTGGTCGATTTGAAGTTTTTTTTTTAATTTATTAAGGCTTTGGCAAAGCCATCAGCCTAAACATGAAGTTTAATTATGTTTCTGTAAATATGGCCGCCACAAAGAGGATAGGCAATTTGAGGCGGCGTGTTTGGATTGACTCGGGATTCCTTAAAACGGGCCGATACGGGTATTTTAGTTCGAGATTCGTATAATTTCGCGTTTTAATCTTCGATTAAGGCACGATAGCACTATCCTATTCCACTTTAAACTAGATTTCACAAAATAATTGAAAGTCAAAATAAAAACGACACTTTTCCCTCCAAAAGGTCCAGAGCGAATCTCGATTTGAAGTGAAATAATTGACGACACCCGTCAATTGTTTCGAATTCGGTCTAGCCAATCGGAGTGCAGTTGTGATTTGAATGATTTGGCAGAATAGATTTCAAACAAATGAAATGACATTTCGTTTTTTTTTTCTGGTTATATTACTCGATGTTGGTAGGTAAATAAATTAGAAAATGTGCACTAGCCATGTGTGAGAATTTTACACACTGATTGACTACTGTTGTCAATCCAAATTTTCACATATTATTTTGGTTAAAAAGTGATTAAGCAGAAAAATATACAAGATAATATGTGAATGGTGAATATAGGTACTGTGACGTTTCTTTATTTACCTATGACGTCACTTCACCTGCTTGGTGTTCGCGCTACTCAAAATGGGAATATTTTTAATATTTTACAGATTTCATATAATATATATATTTATTTAATTAAAAATACAAATCATTATTATTGGATCAAAACGTTACAATGTTGTAATAATTTAACACAAATATTATCTTCAGCAAATATATACTATTTTTAAATAATAATTGATTATAAAACATTAAACAATGATTTACCATAGACAAAATTGGTTAGATCTATGGCAGCTTACGTTGCATTTTCGAATAATGTCGGAGACGCAGAGAGGGGAGGGCGATAGAACACCGACCGTAAAAACGTCTTCAGGGCTAGTCCACGCTCGGTTTGGCCGCTCTCACGATATAAAAAATCGTTAACGTAATTTTAAATGTGAAAAATTTTATTGTAAATCATAGATTGTTGCTTCCTAACCACATTAAACGTACTTAAAGTGAAAGTGAAAGTTTCCGCTTTAGGGAGTTACCTTCGGCTTGGAAAGTTACCTTCAGGTTGGAGAGTCACCTTCGGGATAATTATTGCCATCTACCTTCGGGTTAGAAAACTACATTTGCTGAGCTTCCTTCGGGCTCATACACCTGGAGCTTGACTACGTCCGAACTAGGACGAAACATTTCCACTGAACGGCTATCAATTGTTGCTCGTCCTGTGGCCCTTCTTCTGCTCCGGCAAATATCTGTATATTTGCCGGATAAGGATATATATATCCCCTGCATAGGGGAGTACCATACTCGGAAGCGGAAAACCTAAAGTCGTAACGCACGCTACCACGACCCTTAATAAATTTATGTACCTTTTTTTCAATTTAAATTTTAAATTGTAATTTTTTTAATCATAATTAATTAAGTTTTTTCGGATGTCCTTGTTTCATTTTCTACCCTCATTGGGAAAATAAAACTAGGCAATCGAACCCGGTACATTATGTCTCAAAATAACGTTCGAATAGTCTTTTTTATTATATAAAAATAAGTTATACCTACGTTACCTTTTTCTGATTGTCTGAAACTATGCTTTATGTTACAGTGGGACTAGTTATTCGACCAGTCTGTCCGGCACCAAATACCTTTCTGATAAATCCTGAGTTATATGTCATCAGATTAAAAGATAGTAAGTTCATAGTTAGTATAACATATCATAGTTAATATTACCATTAGAACTCCTTTTGAAAGAATTACTCCTGGGAAGGTAGTACTTCCTACCTTACCTATTTCAGCTACCAAGCAGCAATGTGAGCATTACTGCGTTCCGGTTTCGAAAGGTAAGGGTACTGGTGAAATTACAGGCACATGGGACTTGTCAACTTATGTTTTATGGTGACGGGCACGGCGGCAAAGTCTTCAAGATCTTTGCGTCTGAGTGGCACTGCAACTGTTATGGATAGGCGTGTCGCTTACCACCAGGTGCGGACTTGTTCGGCCCGGCACAAAAAAAAAGAAAACACAGAATGAACTAGAGATAATGAAATAATCATGACTGTATTTTCAGATTTGGAAGATCTACATAGAGAAATAATGGAGGTTACTCATGTTCCATGGAGGATGTGTAGAGAATTTTACTCTGCTGTCAATGTGAGTGTAAAGTTATTTATTGCTGTCATGATAAATCAAGCCCGACGACTGAAGTTTGAAATCGGAATTTTAACGATCATGTAGACATAACATAACATCATCGAGCATATAACCAGAAATAGAGACGAAATGTCATTTAATTTATTTGAAAACTATTCCGTCAAATCATTCGCAGTAATAATTTGGCGGACAACCGCGCTCCGATAGGCCAGCCCGAATTCGAAACAATTGACGGTTGTCGGCAATTGTTTCACTTCAAATCGACCAGTTTAACTTGAGCTTTGATATATCGGATGAAAATTCAAAATTACATATTTAATTATCGATGAAATGTGATCCGTTTGTTTTGTAATTAAGTGTTTTGCTCTTTTTCCCATGCCACCGAATGGAACAGCACCCATTGTTAGAGATATTATCTTTATTACAAAAATAAAGAATATTTTTGGGATATACGGAGACGTACACACAGGTCAGTTGTTAGTGCCGTACTATTTCAGTTTTCTAATTTGTGATTTCAGCGCAAACAACAGTTGATATTTAAAAGTGATATAAGGTCCTTTTACCTGATGAGTTACTAGGGATGGATGGCTCTTATTTCGTCTATATTTCTTGTTATATACTCGATGCATAACATAAAGCATTTGTTAAATTGGCGACAACTACAATACCAACGTGGAAGCGACCTGAAAAGGGTGATTACAGGCCTAAAGTTCACGAGTCTGAGTAGTTTTGAAAAGTTACATATAAGTGAAACTGGACACAAAAACAAAACTCGACGGTATTTAAAAATACAATCATCATCATCAACCTATTTTTACGTCCCACTGCTAGGTACGGGTCTCCTCTCGGGCCAGGATTTAGACCATAGTCCGCCATGCTAGTCAAATGCCGATTTGGGATTTCATTCGTTTTCCGAGGGTTGAGAACCTTCTTCAATAACTGCTTCCGTGGCCGAACGGTTACCATGCCGGACTGCCACGCAGATGTCCCAGGTTCGATTCCCGGGCCGGGAGAAATATTTCTATGGCCTATATTTATTTATCTCGTGAGTTTAGATGTAATTTGTGATTGTCTATGTGTGTGTCCATGGCACACGCAACACAGGGTTTCCCTAGTGCGGGGCTATGTTGAGTGTGTGCGTTATTATTGTTATTATTATTAACAAAATGTGCAGGTTTCATCACGATGTTTTCCTTCGAAAAGCTCATAATAAATTTCAAATTAAATTTCGCACATAAATTCCGAGAAATTTAGAGGTTAGAGGGATTCGAACCCACGGCCTCTGCATGAGAGGCGGTAGATAAAACCATTAGGCTACCACGGCTTTTTTAATAATTAAAATCTACAGAGTTTCTTTTATAATACTATGTGACGGGACGAACAAGTCGTGTGCCTGGTGGTAAGCGACACGCCTGTCCCTAACAGTTGCAGTGCTACTCAGAGTTTTAAATCACAAAGGTCTGAGGGGCACTGCCACTGCGCCCGAAACTCTGAGACGTAAGTTGACAAGTCCCATGTGCCCGTAATTTCACCAGATGACCTACCATTAGTTTTGAATGTATGGACTTAAACAGAATAATAAATATAAACACTATGATATCAATATGTCATTGATGAACTTAATACGTTTTCGCCATTGCATACAATTATATGGACGTCGGGTCCGCGCTAAAAAGTGTCCGAACTTATAGGGCGTTAAAATCGTATACAGAGCGTCATTCACGCTTTAGTCTTTGTTTGTTCGACTGACAGCGAAACTAGCAAAATTAGACAGTACTGCGATCACATTACAATTTAAATTCAACGTTTTAGCTTTTTCATATTCCTTTACATGTCACTACGTTTAAATAGGTTGACTTGGGACATTTTTTTCGTGTTTTTTGTATTAGACCCGTCGTTCATTTGTTTGTAAGTCAATGGTTTTCGCAATTGTAACGAAACAATTTTTTTAAATCTAAAATCGCGTTCTATTAAAAAAGAAATGTTTCGGGCTCTTTAGGTTCCATTGTCACGCAGCCGTGACCTTATAACCTATATTTGTTTTTCAAACAAATCAACATAAGTCAGCACTTATGTTGATTTGTTTGAAAAACAAATAAAGAAAATGAAACCATTTTTCCGGATTTAATTCGCGTATATTTGTTTGAAAAAACAAATATACGCGGGGTCGAATCGCACGTCGTCGAATAAATGCGCTCTTACACAGATCTTTCAGAAAATGCTGTAAATTTTCTTATCTCTATTAGTTTCAAATGTAATAAGTAATAAAAAATAAATTGCATTTGGCGCACATGCGCCAAAGTCATTTATAAATCTCAAGATTTAAAAATTACTTTTTACATGTTAAAATACGACGCATGTCATTCCATTACAGACGCTTTATTACAGTTATACACAAAGGAAATGCGTCCGCCCAGCGCGGTGTGCGCAGCTGTACTGGACACAAATGAAGTGTGCGTGTGGAACGCAGGCGCAGCCCTCGTCACCCGCGATGTGTGGGGCCGATGGCAACTGGTACCAAATTACATTTAAGTGATATATTAGAAAAAGCAAAGAAGTAAAAATTTACATTAGAAAGGACAAAACAGAAATATTAACTTTTTTTTTTAAGTGTGCTGACTGTAACAAAATTTAATAATAAGACGACCTCGGTGGACCAATTTGAAAAATGAACTTTTCTAAATTAGTTTTTATCTGAATTGAACACTGTAATGAAATATGTTGCTCTGGTATTTATATTTCAAGAATATGAATCATATTTTATAATCTTTTTATTTTAAGATCTTTACTGCTTGTGAACTCGGGCAAAAATGCGAGAATTGAGAATCGATAGCATAAAGTAATATCAGTTGACACAATTGTTTTTTATTACAAACCCATGGTGGAAGCTATACGAGGTGTAACATAAATGTCCACCCATGTTGTTTTTCGTGGCGAGCATACGAAATAAACAATTTTTAGGAAAAACAATTAAATTAGCGAAAAAATGGTTCCTTATACAAAACAGTCGGCAAATTTTTTTATTCGTTGTTTGAAAGAAAAATATGTTAATCAAAATTGGTTATCTATTTACAGCTGGGATTGGGAGTGAGAGGACCGGGTTGCAGCGCACCATCGCGCTATATTGACATGCTCAGTTATTACCCTTGGATACATAGCAGTCTAGACAAGTTCCGGCGTGTTACGATCACAAAGATTAACAACCAGAAATACGTATTGCGAAGTAATTGTGTAAAACGGAGCTCGTAGACGTTAGACAAAGGGAGGATGATTTTGTCACAAGAAAATAGGACAATAATATGAATCTCACGTTGCACACGTCCTTCAAAGATGGTTCAAAAAATCGCTGCACGCACGACTTTCGACCCCTCTAATTGTGGATGGATGGAAAATTAAACGTTCGAAAGATTAAGCATACACGCGACTCCGGCAACCGGTTTGCCAAAAAATCGTCAAGAAATTAGGCACCCGATAATCGGGGATCGTATTTGCTTCCGATAATTGGCCTCAGTGCCGGCTCTAGCCCATGTACCGCCCGAGTGTAATCAATACTCTGGCGTCTTCTAGTAGGTATGCGATCAAAAAGGAATACTTACAGTTATATTTTCCCCAGTGATCAAAAATTCGGGTGCAAATGGTGCAATTATGAATGATATTGGGAAGCAATAGCCCGTTTACTTCATTTGCGCCGCGAGAGACGTACGCTCTTTGGAGGCGTCGCGAGCGGCTCTCTGTATCCCCTTAGACCCTCCTCCCATGTGCGCCGCACACCTTGCACGAAATGTCTAACGTGTGCGAGCACTGTTAAATACGAAGACTGTAAGGGAGTCACCACACTTATCGACTCGGAATTGGCTTGAGCCAGTCAAAACAATTGTCGACACTTAGTGCTTCGTTTCGTGAACGTTTTTTTTTTCGTCGCTTACATGGAACACTCGCTGATGGCACTCTTCAGTTATAATGAATTTTGATGTCACTAAAAAGTATATTCATGGATCTTTCAGGCGCTGCTTCCCTTACGAATATAGGACGCACCGGTAAAAAGTGGGTAGAAAGCAAAGTGATCTCGACACAGAGGTTTGGCAATTGCGATGAAGAGGAAAAAAAGAATCTTCTATACAGAGACTTGGTTGTTTTAGACAACGACAAAAAAAAGCTTACTTTTGCCACTTACAATGTAAGTATCGCATAACTTCAATGACGAACTCTGTGGTCGTGTGGCTTACACACCGATTGTCACGATGTCGCCATCTCTGAGGTCCCGGGTTCGATTCCCGGCCGAGTAAATGTAGAAACTAACTTTTCTATATTATCTCCGATCTGGGTGTTTGTGGTATCGTCGTCGTTTCCGATTTTCATAAAACAAGTGCTTTAGTTATTTTGGGATCAGAGCAATTTATATGATGTCTAATATTTATTTATTCACTTGTTGTCCACTATTTTTCTCTCCATATGAACAACAAAAAGTTATCTCGTTAGTCTACCCGTATACAGGTGTCCCACCGCTGTGTACCCCTCCTTGTATTATATATTGTGGATAGAATATTTTGTCTCAATGACATATTATTTTATTTTTAAAAGTAAGTAATATTGCAATGAAAGGCTTTTAAAAAGTTTCTTGCCTCATCTGGAAATCGTACCGACCAAAATAAAGCACCTTCTTTATGATGCTGATCGAAAGGGTTTATTATAAGAAATTCCTTTAACTAACCAATGTCAGTTAAAGTTATAAAAGTTATACAATGTATCTTAATTTAAAAGAACACCATGAAATAAAAAAAACTTCTATAAAAAACAAAGTTTATTGTTCCGCGTTGTTTACAAAACGCTAAGATGAGCAGAAATTATGATAAAGTAGAATAAGTACGCCACTAGAGCTTAAATTGAAACATTCGAATTTAACTCATGGGCTTTAATCTGCCGGTATATTGATTTAAAGCAAACAGCCTCTGTGGCCGAACGGTCACGATGCTGGTCTGCTACGCAGGGGTTACGGGTTTGTTTCCCAGGCCGAGGGAAATATTTGCATGGCTTATATTTATTTCTCTCGTGAGTTTGGGTGTAATTTGTAGTTGTCTGTATGCGTGTCCATGGCACCCGCGAAACATGGTCTCCCTAGTGCAGGGCTATGTAAAAAAAAGTTGGTATATTAAAAAAGCTTTTTTAACCTATGTGCTTAAGACTGCGACCCCTGATATTTTGACACGTTCCTTAGATACTGTCTGTCCTTGTTCAGGGTTTATATTTTTAGGGTTCCGTACTCTTATAAAAAAGAAAAAAGCAACAGTAACGAAGCTGTTTACTAGATTAAAGGCGAAATAATAGTAGTAATAATAACGCACACACTCAACATATATAGCCCCGCACTAGGGAGACCCTGTGTCGCGGGTGCCATGGACACACACAAGGACAACCACAAATTACACCCAAACTCAAGAGAAAAATAAATGTAGGCCATTCAAATATTTCTCCAGACACGGGAATCGAACCTGCGACCTCTGCGTGGCAGTCTGGCATGACAACCGTTCGGCCACCGAGGCAGTTTGGAAACGGTATCGTGATTGCGTAGGCTTTGAAGCGTGTGAGATAGACGCGAAGAATTTCAATTCACGATATTTTAACATTTATTTGCTTTTAAAAAATAAAATACTAGTATTGTAAAATATTACAATACTTAATAAATTGTAAATAAAATAAATATTAAAAAGCTCACAGTCCCCCGACGTGTATATTATGGAACACGGGAGAGAAAATTTCATTCGAATATCTGTAATAAAAATCGAATGAATGCTTAAATGCCTTACCTCGTCGGTTCGCTTCGGTAAAAAGAGCCCATCAAATTAGTCAATTGTTATGAAACGATAATAAAAAAACTATTTTACTGATATAATAAATTATTAATACAAAGATCGAACACTTAGAAAAAATTACTTCGATCCGGCCGGATTCGAACCGACGTCTTCTAGCAAACCGTGCCAGACGCTATGCCAACTAAGTCACGGAACGAATCAGCGGCTCTCACCAATTTATTCTATGTGCTTGTTTGTCGGATCTTTGTATCTGGTTTTTAATGACGTTTTAGCCCTAGCACTTCTATGTTCTCATAGATCTATGAAAGTAATTTGTCACCCTGTTAGAGACCCTTACAGCTACCAGCCCTGGCTAGAGATGTCGCTATTCACTGTAATTAAGTGTTTGTTTTTTTTTTTATTGAATGTCAGGATGTTTCACCAACATGATATTCAATTGTGTGAAATTACTCCACTAGTTTGTTATAATTAAATATCCTGACATTCAATAAAAAAAAAACACTTTTTAATATAGTTGCTCAAAACGTGGTATTTTTCGTACAACAAATCGCGCCGAAAGTTGGATTTTTCCCACTAGTGCCTTTTACTTTTCAATTTCTTTTCTAATTTACTGTTGTTTCAAGTCTTAAACATAGAACTAAAGAGGTTGTATATTTATTTAATATTTATGTGCTTTGTGACGTCATTCGTCACTAAAACTTATATTTACTTACAAACATCTTATTTGTTTAAATTGCAAAGGTGTTTTATAAAACAACGGGTTACATTTAAAAATACCAAAATATTTTCCATAAAGATGGCTGCTTGAGCAATGATCGTAGGTGAGTATTACGCGAGACCGTTGCGCGCCGCGCCTCTAAAATAGTGATTTTAAATTGGCTGAATACTGGCAACAGTTGCCATTGTACTCTGAATTTTTATCAGACAAAGAAATAAAATGAGTTTTTTTTTAATACTGTTTTATTTTACTTTCAATGTAGTTTTTTCGCAAATGTATTAAAAAACGTCATTTGATACACGTGCGAATTTGTTATTTTCACTTCTCTCGAGTGAAACTCGTGAATAATGACTACCTTTCCGCACTTGAATCAAAAATAACTATTATTTCATTGATAATTGAAATTAATCCATTCGCACCTTTTTCAATAAACTTGTTACTGAATATCGTCAGAAAGATCTTGTTGAAATTATCCCGTATACAGCGCGACATAACTGATGCGTGAACTGTCACCCCTCCCGCACCGCACAGCGGGTAGACGAGTAAGAATAAAATTTTGCGGAACTTTCTTTTTTTTTTAATTGACCGAAGTCAATCGTCATTTTGGCAACATAGTTCACGGCCGTTATCTCCTATTTTCATTTTCAATTGTAAAAACAAGTTGAATTCGTATTTATTAATGTCCAAAAATAGATCTTTCGCATGGTCTATAACAAATTTTACTTCACTTTAAGTGAAAGTTCGAATATTACAGATGACGATTATTCAGAGTATAGAGATCACATGTATGACCATGGAGATAACAGAAGGCGCTGCAACTTCAAAGATGTCTGTGAGACACGTTTGTCAACGAGCGCCGGATGGAGGTCCATGTTACGCTTACAAAGGTAAAAATTCAAACAGGTAACCTACCTACTTATACAATAAAACAGCAGTGATAAAATGCTATACCGCCTCTACCCTATACACATCTCGCACACCGATTGCAACAGTGTCACAAGTTAAAAATGATAATTTGCAGAAAATTCCCTGCTTTTCGTAAAAAGTTGGAAAAATTACTGATAATACATAATTTTTAAGTTGTGTCATATTAAAGCCGATGTGCAACATGAATACTACATGCAATGAGTTCTAAGAAGCTTTTTTTATAATATCAAATTTTTGAATTTTTGACCTCCATCTGCCCTGATGGAAAGTAATGATGAGGTCGATGTAGCATGCACACCTAAATAATGCCTATCCAATCTCGCCTTGAAAAGGTCCAAGTTATAAGGTTTGGTTTTCTATTTAAAAGTGTTATCAACAAGAATTCTTTTCTCGCAACACAAAGTTACTTATAAATGAGATTTGAATCACATGGTACGTTGTTGGTGTGCAACAATCTAGTTTTCCAAATACAACATTCACAGAGCGTTTTCAGCGTCGATTCCCAAGAATTTGGCTTGGTCTTGGATTAAAAGACATGAATTTATCAAAGACCACATTCCAGTATACGTACATACGATTTGCAAAATATTATAACAATATGCTTTTTTTTTAAAACACCGACTAAATGTACGAGCATGAATAGTCTATGTCTGCTTGGGATTTTTCATCAGAGGAAATACTGTTCAGTATAAGGTGTTTTTTAATTAATTATTTCTAACAGGCGATGATTTACTCAGCACTCTTTCAATGTGGTTTTCTTATGGCCGAGACTCTAAGGTTAATTTTTGGTAGACGCACAAATCGGTTTACCAGAAGTTTCTCAATTTCAATTATTTTCAGAATCTTTATTCGACGTTAGTGTATTTATAATATTTACTGGACAAGCTAAGTTCGAGATGGTTGTCTGGGGCTTTCAAAAACTAATGAAATCGTTGGACACCATGGAATGGAAATGGGAAGAAGGATCGTTTTATGACGACTTTACCGCACAGAGAGTAGAATATACAGGACCGACGTTCATGACTGATTTTGGGTATGTACTTTAAAAATTACTATAGATTATTTACTCGTTGCAGACTCGGTCACAAATAAGATAAGATAAGAGCGGGACTGTGATACTACGCTCTCTCTTCCCTTGCTTAGTGTTGAGCGTACGTGACTCGTGCGCAGGCTCGTTATCGATAAATTAAAGATCTCCTATAAGTAGGAAGTATTAATTTATATATCGCACATGAAATAAAATGCTATCGCGACTGGAAATTGTGGAATCAAAAAAACAAGATTTGAAAATTTAAAACAAAATACAAAATGGATGTTATTGCGAATAATGTCATTATTTTATTAATACCATACTATTTAGTTGTTCATTTATAAACGAGAATACATGTTTATTGGTTACGTTCCGTATTTTTGAGTTATTTAGTTTTAAGCATGTTGGTTTTACGTTTTTAAAATCGTACGTTTGTGTATTTGATTTGTATTGTATGAATTTAACAAATAAATTCTTTTTTATTTCTCTTCCTGCTATCACTGTTATAACAAAATTAAACGTCATCTAAATCGATAGCATTTATCAACTGCAGTAATGCACAACACTGCACTTAAACAATAGGCCAGTGCCTGCCCGTACCCTAGTGGTAAGTGGAAGAGAGAGCGCAATGTCGCTATCCCGCTCCGATAATTTATGGCCCAATCTGCAAATAGAAAATAATCTGTACCCAACAATATTCTTCTTTTTTCTTTTTGCTTATAGGCATATATTTCGCCAGTATTGAGTTTTCTGCTTAGCAATTTTAAAGGCTTCTGTAGGTTCTGCTATTCAGCGAATATTGGAGGAGCACAATGTGAGAAAGTGTAAGCTTTCGAATCAATGTTAGATCATCCAATACCGACAATGACAGTACAGGTGTATCCCTAACAAATGATAAGACAGTCATTCGTAAAGGAGTTTTATTCTCGTAATACCGTTTATTTTTTATGCGACTTCAAAAGAAGAAGGAGGTTTTCAATGCGACCAATATTTTTTTGTGTGTATGTTACGCGATTACGCCGTCATTTGTATACAGAAAAGGGGATACCTCAATACTGGTCCCATTCAAGTTGGAAGAAAATATTCCACCTCTAAGTGTGACAAATTAAGAGATGAACCCGGTTTATTGGGTTTTACCATTGACTTACAATTATATGGACGTCGGGTCCGCGCTAAAAAGTGTCCGAACTTATAGGGCGTTAAAATCGTATACAGAGCGTCATTCACGCTTTAGTCTTCGTTTGTTCGACTGACAGCGAAGCAAGCAAAATTAGAGAGTACTGCGATGACATTACAATTCAAATTCAACGTTTTAGGTTTTTCATATTCCTTGACATGTCACTACGTTTAAATAGGTTGACTTGGGACATTTTTTTCGTGGTTTTTGTATTAGACCCGTCGTCCATTTATTTGTAAGTCAATGGGTTTTACTCACTTTTAGTGGACCGATTTCGATAAAACTTGTGAAATAAATGTAATTTCACAAACTTTTATCGTCAGTTTATTTTTGAAATAAAAGCTATAATTATTCACGTCACATTATTAGAATTCGTAACGAATACTGTCGAGCGGTCGCAGTTTTCATCGGAAAGTTTTCAAACAAATCAAATGCATTGTCCATGGCTAGACGGCACAAATGCACTTTTCACTAGAATGCACTTAACCCCTCAAGGTATATTCAACTGTATCTCACTATGATTCAAACGGAGTTTCCAGCTACCCTTATAATTGTTCCGAATAAGCTACATTTTTTATTCTACTAAGTGACGGGACAAACAAGTAATGCGCCTAGCGGTAACCGACACGCCTGTACGTAGCAGTTTTAGTGCCACTCAGAGCTTTACATGGCAAAGATCTGAGGGTTACTGCCAACTCACCTTGAGACATAAGTTGACAAATCCAATGTGTACAGGCACATTTTCACCAGTACCCTTACCCTTCTAATCTGGAATGCAGTAATGCCCATATTACTGTTTGGCGGCTGAAATAGGTAAGAAGGCAGCATGTCACTGGACGAACTCTTTTACAAAGTGCTCTACTACTACTATAAATTTGTAATTTATGTATAATAAATAAGGCGGCCGTTTTGCTAAGTAACCACTACATATTTCTAGGCAACCTAAGGACAGATATTCGGAAAATTCTTGTTGTATTTTTAATTTACATTTTGAAATAAAATTTTGTAATTAGTAATACATAGATCGAACACTTAGGAAACATTCGTTCGATCCGGCTGGATTCAAACGTCTTCTAGCAAACCGTGTCAGACGCAATGCCAACTAAGCCTACCACAAAACTTGTGCCTCATATGAAATAAGTCGTTAGTCAAAATGACGTCAACCATTTGTTACTACGAAATTATAATAAAAATGTAGTTATACAAGTCATCCCTTTCAACGGTCGTAAGGTATAATATTGCCGAAAATAAGTTATTTACATCATAAAATGGAACGTGAAATGTACCTAAATCGAATTATGTAAATAACCTTTTTCGTTCAAAATTATAAGTTAAGCCCAGTTCATGATAAAGAGGGCGAAGTGTGCGTACAAAAAACAGTATGTCATTATATTTAACAAGTTTTAAATAATGTCTTTTAATGTCGTAGTAGATATCTTGAAACGACAGATTCTGGACTTGAGAACAAACTTTGTCCAAGAACTCCAGAATGCAGCATAGTAAAATTGGCTACTTGGGAGCCCTTTTTACATAGGGAAATCCTCATCGATATCTGTCTGCTGCGGGAGCTACAGAGAGGTTTTGCCGAACTCCTACCGACTAAACCCCACGGTGTTCCGTCTCTGCGCCTTTTACCGGGATTACCGGGACGCTTTCGTATTCTTCCGCAGTGGCATAGGGTCTACCACAGTCACTTAAAACAAGGTAGGTTAGGTACTATAACCTTTACATTGACTTTTCGTACCATGACGCGCTTCAAGTAAACTTATTAAAAGTTTTTAAAACTATGAAGTTTGTTTGTAAACAATGTGTAGCAGCGCAACAGTCAAGCTATATGACCATACGAGCCGCATACAAGTGGGTTGATTAGGTGGTTCGTTCCTTGCGACACTATTAAGAGAAGTGGAACATATGGTAAGGAATGCCTGGAGAAGGGCGTATCGGCAGGTAAAAAGAGTGCTGAATAACTGAACAATACTACACTGACCTTAAAGTTGGGTTTCGTGTTTTGCCCTTAGTAGCGCTTTTGTTCAACTTCCAGTAGACGTCCTAATTAAGTGTCTCCGACAAATGCGAGGGAACGCGTGGCGGCTTCAGGTGCATGGTGGCGGTCAGAGGAAACTATTAGCTGCGGTGATCATCATCGTAGAGTAGCCCCATATCTTTCACATTATTTTTTATTATAGTGACCCTCCCTACCGACCCTTAGGATTTACGAGAGGAGCGTTATAACCTGTGAGCGCACAGGAACGTCATAAGTTCAGGTTTTGACCCCAGATCAGCCTGTGTACAATATTGTCACAGGCCTCTGTCACTGAACTTCATCCGGTTCTCGTGAGGCTAGTGCGTCGGGTGAGCCGCCCCGGGTGAATGTACTTCTTATATTCCTTCCTGTTTTCTAGATAGGTACTGGAGCTGAAGTCACGGTCACTTCCCATTGCGCGTTGCACAACTAGCGGTTACCACCGCTGAGCCGTCTACTAAGTCCACTACCAAATCTTTTCATTGGTGGCGGAGCTGTAAGTCACGCTCACTTCCCGACGCCGAAAAACGACGTCTTCCGGTTCCCAATTATTTAAGCGGCTGCAGGGACCGGAGGCTATTATCCTCTACTAGCTCTCCGAGCTAGTGCCGGAGATGCCAGTCGCAGTCTCCTGCGACAATGTTCGGACATAACTTCCAACTAAAAGGGCAACTCACGTGTCCCGGGCGTCTCCTCGCTTTAGGCTCTCAACTAGGCCGCTACTAAGACGCGCTAGCTGTGCATGAGACGGATACTCCGGCCACATGGTACCTGGGCAGACAAACATGTCCGTCACTCGCAGCTCACCACAAACACCAGCGAGTCCGTACCCAAGTCCGGGTCCGCCAGAGACTCCCGTGAAGGCGTATCCCGCTGTACCCTGGTCTTGCCGTCCAGCCCGTAGCATCGGGACATCATCGTAGTGCAGTCGAAACCGACTTCATGCAGCCGAGATCGATTGCATGCAGTTAATGCGTGAAGTCTTTGTCAACTTCATGCAGTCGTGATATCGGCTACATGAAAATGATTACGACTTCACGCATTAACTACAAACATGCAGTCAGTCTGTTAGCATCCTTACTTAGGCTGACTCACCTTTTCGAACATTTAAACGTAATATGTATTAAGTAGATATGGTAATTTTATTGTGAGGATATTTAACATTTTATTTGTTTAGTGACGTGAGTTTTACTTCTGTATACTCCTCTTGTGTGAGCAATGCCTATAATAAGAGTGAGAGGATAGCTAGAAAACGATACACATTTGTATAAGACCACATTATACAAAATTAATTTAAATTAATTACGGTTAAATAATACTTAATTTACTACTGATATTTCATTAAGGTGGTTACCTGCACCAGAATTTGAGACGCAAACTTCTAATACTGCTAACCTACTGAAAACCCAAGAAATCTTGAAAAAGTTCAGATTTTTTCAAGATTTCTTAGGTGTCAATTGTACACACAATGGATTTCGGTCTAATCAAAATGCTGTGATGTTTACAGTTACGAACCGCTGGATAACGCAATGTGGTTACCCAACTACGATTTATGGACAACGACAAGCAAAACAACGTCAACTCAGACAGAAACTGAACCACCCTTACAAATCACTAAGGTTAGAACTACTGCAAAAAGAGTTTCAAGAACTACCTCTAAAAGGATACCGAAAGTTAAAACAACAACAACGGTATGTTTAAATTTAATCGCTTTACGTATTTACATGAGCAAATGTCGTAGCACATGCAATGACACGATACCAAGCTGAGTGGATGACGGATTCCATAACAGCACAGCATGCACACTTAAGGGCTCTTACACATAAACACGATACGACATCGCGTCGTGCTACGACGCAATATATATATATACAATGTACGCGATGTCGTATCGTGTTTATGTGTAAGAGCCCTTACGTCTTATCGCTTGATCATTTCTGTGGCTCTTCTATTCTGTTCTATTCTAACCATAAAGAGCTCTGGTGCGTAAACCTGAACCGCAAAAAATTAACAAACGCAAAGGAAGTAAATTTCGTTCGTATGCGTCATAATAACATCATCACGTAGAACGCGGTTGGTTACAATACTGTAGTAAAGCCCTACGATTGTTCATCTTGAGTTTCGTACTGCAAACACGTGATACTAAAGTCATTTGTGATTGGTAATAAATAACACAGTATAAATATGACAAGTATGGCAACTCCACACAAACGTAGCAGCGTGTCTTGCATGTGTGCGCGCCCGCCGCGTGTCTTGTATGGACGCCAACAATCGCATAAAAGTAGTGCTTAAAGAGGTCGGTACTCATACCCTAAGGACCCCTGACCCATTAACTACCTAATCTTTTGATTCTGAGGGAAAAAATATAAAGAAATTTCAACTGTATTATGTAAGTTATACCACATTTTAGTTGCTGAAAATTAAATAAAATTATTTAAAGCCAAAACCATATTCTGTCACTTAAAAATAAACTCAGTTGATGCAGAAGCTTGGTGTATGGACTAAAGTTACATTAGATATTAATACATACAATGTCCCAGAAAATCATACCAATTACCTGATTGAGATCAGATAAAATTCCATGTACTATGAGTACCAAATTAACTCCAGGGTACTGTGTAGATACAAGGAATTATCTAGTTCTATGTATTTCGTAGAATTATCCAACAGACATTAAATTATCAATTTTCATTCATTGCAGACGAAAAAAACGAGAAGGAATTATCACGGGTGAATAACTTTTTCTACTTGGTTGTTAATTTTATATTAAGACCGACTCACATTCACGTAAGTTTCGTTCGTAGAGCAGTATAAGAAACCAAACAACTTTTCTAAGGGGCACTACTATTACGACGCGGGAATAAGTCAAACGTTCCATGAAATCTAGGCAAAGCATCCAAGGAATTATGTCAATGCAGATTGTTTGGTTTCCTATATTCACAAATTATTTTGCACCATGTATTTTCAGTAGGTGAGGTATACGTGAGGCGCACTATAAGTTTACGAAATAAATAAGAAAACAATACTATAAATGGTCAGAAATGAATTTATTGTTTCTTAAAATATTCTACATTATCGTGAATGCACTTTTTCATACGAATGAACCAATTTTGAAAACATTTATGCCACTCCTCCGTGACAATCTCCGAAACATATTTTTCATACTCTTCGATAGCCTCTTCAGGTGATGAATATCGTTGACCGCGTAACTGGTTCTTAATTTTTGGAAATAAATAAAAGTCACAAGGTACCAGATCGGGACTACGCGGATTGGCTCATAACAGTTTTGGGATCGTAACTATAAATCCATGTTTCGTCACCTGTTACTATGTTCCACACCAAATTTCACGCTCCTTCGTTGAATCTGGTAATCATGGCATTACACCAAGTGACGCGATCCGTTTTTTGAGCCTCAGTCAAATTGCGTGGGATCCGCCGAGAGCACAGCTTTTTCACACCCAAATGTTTGTGTAGTATTGATTGTATTTGGCTCATGCCTATGCATAAAGATGCCCGAAGCTCATGGGATGTCACATGCCTATCTGTTTAGAACATACGGCGCACAGCTTCGATGTTTTTATTGCTCAGCAGTGGACGGGCGAGCATCACGAAATTCGTCACTGACATTCACACGACCGCGTTTGAATTTTGTAAACCAGCTATAAATAGTCGTCTTGCGTGGTGCTTCATTGCCAAAACTTTTGAAGCCGAGCGAAGCTCCGCTGAGCTGTTAAATTACCCTTAAAGTCGTAGAAAATCATACTACGATTTTTTTTTTAATTTTCACGAGTTAAATCCTTGGTGATGTAGACAACCAATTTCTAAAATGACACCACAATGTAAAAACAAGTGACAGTCAGATGAAACAAACTGTATTCTCTGTAGAATACAGGCTGTCCAAAGAGTTCCATTTTCAGATGTTGTAATTACTTTTTAAATATTGTTTATGTACGTGGCCAGTTCCGGAAACTTTATAGTGCGCCCTATGTACAATTATTATATAAACTGCCTCCGTGACCGAACGGTTAACATGCTGACCTGCCACGCAGAGATCTCGGTTTCGATTCCCGGGCCGGCAGAAATATTTGTGTCGCCTACATTTGTTTCGCTCGTGAGTTTGGGTGCAATTTGTGGTTGTCTCCAGGTGTATCCATGGCATCCGCGATACAGGGCTTCCTTAATGCGGGACTTGTGAACCTTCTTCGACATACAGGTTTCACCAAGATGTTTTCCTTCACTTTGCATACATTCACATACGTCTTAACTGAAATAAAGATCAAAGAAACTCAAAGAAAAATTCCTTCGATCCGTCGAACCGCTCTCCCAAATGAGCTACGGAAAGTTAGGCGAAAAAAAAATGTCAGTGGTTCAAGTCAATAGAAGGAATTTTTCTTTGAGTTTGTTTGTTAGTTGTTTATGATATTAGTAATATAGTTCTATAAGATTGTTAACATTTTAAAAATAACCTTGTATAAATAAATATTTACCTTAAACAAAGTTAAAACCGTAGTACACAGAAATTCACGTTCAACTGAGAAACAATCGTTCCCCACTGGGTTACCACCGCTTAATTCACATGTGCTTATTCTAGAAACGAAACAAAGGAAACAACACTGAGATTCGGGATTTATTAAATAGATGAAATTGTGAACCCCTGGCTTGTGGCCCTTTGTATGTCTATCCCAATTCATTGGGCAAGTTGGGTGCCAGTTCTTGGGTTTCCCATTTAGTTCATTATCAATTCTAATGCAATTTCTCACAGCTGAAATTTTGTTTCAGCCGAAAATAATGCAAAGTGTAAAGGAATTAAAATTACGAGGGGATCTTCCGAGAATTTTTGTCGTTGCTGAAATTTTCATCATCATCATCGTCTCAGCTCGTTAACACTCAAACAAAAACAATAACAACAGCTCGGTTCTGTGCGAGTGTCATCCACAGTCTTCCTGCCACCCTGATGACATTGTCCGACAATTTAGCATGTGGTCTGCCTCGAGGACAAGGAAATTTTACTATTAAAAATATTCATACCTATTCGAAGTTTTATCATAAATCTTTATGAACGCAAAGTAGAAATCAAAAATTCTAGACAAAGTCCAATGTCTACTGAAGCGGAGCGGCGAAAACCTGTATTTAAAAACCAATAAATAGATTTCAGTTATTTTGTTTTTTTTTATGATATCAAATGACGGGACGAACAAATCGTGCGCCTGATGGTAAGCTACACGCCTGTCCATAACTGTTGCAATGCCACTCGGAGCTTTAAATGGCAAAGATCTGAAAGGCACTGCCACTACGCCTGTCACTCTGAGACATAAGTTGACAAGTTCCATGTGCCTGTAATTTCACCAGCACCACTACCCTTCAAAATGGGAACGCAGTAATGCTCACATTACTGCTTGGCGGCATAAAAAATAATGTAAAAAGTAATTTAAGAATAATGTAACTAAAAAAATTTAAATAAACACAAAATATTGTCGAAACACAACGACGTCACGTAAAAATAAAGTACAATTTCTTCGAAAGAACAACTAAACTACACTGTAAAGTTCATTATCCAATAAAAGTAGTTACAATCGGGTATAAAATATTTCGTCGTTTGTAACACAATTTTTAGGTTTGCGGGTAGGTGTTAGCGATGGGAGAGTCGAGTTATTTAACTCCTAAATAACTCATGTTACTCCCACAACGAGTCAACTCGAACTCGAGCGCATCGGCTACTCGTTCTCATTCGGTCGGTTTCGCGACCTTCGGAGCACGCTCGAGTCGCCGTCGGCCGGCCGATCGTGCCCAACTCGGTGAATCGACGTCGATTCGAGTTCCCATGAATATATTATTTCTCTGTCAGACACCCAGTCAACTCGACTTGCGACTCGAGTCTTCAATCACGTCAACTCGAATAACTCAAGTTGAAAAAATATAACTCGTCCCATCGCTAGTACATAATAATATGTGTTGGTAAAAACTGGGTATCTCGTTGCGAGAGAATGTTATGCCAAGGAGATCTAGGCTGTCGGTAAGAGAGACAGATATACCCCGAAAAGTTGAAGTCAAATCAAATTGACTCCTTTTAGCAGTAAACAGACAGGCCTGCGATTTGGTGGCGTTGAATTCGCCCATATTGTCATCTCACCACTGAGAGACAAGACTTAAGGTCAAGTTCCTCCGCTCCACCATCGACCTCTCTCAACGAACGGATATCTACCCTGCTGTCCCTTGCGCTGGACAGATATCTCTTCGTAACAGTGCTGTCATCTGCATACCTAATAATACCTGGGAATAGCAGGTCATTGATGTGCAGCAGGAAAAGAGTCGCAGAGAGAACCGACCCCTGAGGAACTCCGGATATTGATAGCCATCAAATCAGATGAGCAGCCCTCAATGACTACTCTGACTAACCGTACATCAAGGAAATCTGATATCCAGCTACAAAAGTCAGCAGGGATGCCGTAAGCGGGAAGCTTGCTCAGCAGACTTGCGTGCCAAACCCTGTCAAAGGCCTTCGAGATATCTAGTGACACAGCCAGAGCCTCGCCGTGTTTCTCGATGGCTTCACCCCAGCAGTGCGTAACATACACGAAAAGATCCTCAGCTGATCGTCCCCGGCGGAAGCCATATTGAC